GAAGTGCTGAAAATGGAATTATTGTAGAAGTAAGATGTAGCTTCAAAGTGTTTACTTCTCTTAAAGAAAATCTGAAAAGGTAGAGCAGTGAAGTCAGAGTCCATACATGGAAGCAGTACTATAAAGTCTCTATGATGAAAAGGTTTGATATTGGTGGAAGACCAGTGGAACACAGTAGAAAATCTAGAATTGCATAAGACATATAGTATGTAATAAAGATAACATTCCTAGTGACTGGAGGAAAGAGAGAGATGAGTAGATAACCAAATGGAAAAAGACAAAATTGGATCTACTCTACAGACTTAAATTCCAACTGAAGCATAGAGTTCAATGTAGGGACTTAAATCATACAAGCACTGAATAAAAGTATAGGTGGATTCTTCTATAACCTAGGAGTGAAAAAACTTTCCTAACTATAATTCAGCATGGAGAAACAATAAAGGAAAAGGCTGAAAAATGTGATTAATCGTTCAAAGTCTTTTCATGTAGAAGTTAGCATGTGTGTGGAGTGAATTAGGATGACCTACTATGATTTCTGATATAAGACTTTCATCAGTATGATACCTGATGTTATACTTTAATGGTTAATTATTAGTAATCAATGTACTTTCATCATACTGTGACGGTGTGATGAAATATAGAATGGAATACTAAGGTGACAAAAATAATAAAAGCAGGCAAGATTTTACCCAAGGTTAGTAATTTTTCAGTCTGCCAATCTGGAGCTAAATGAGGCAGTTTGAGGACAAATTCCCAAAGTTCAAAGGAAAACTGAAACAATGATGCTCTGTTCTCACTGTATCAGTTAGACTTTCATATAAATTGTTTCTTTTTCTTTGGTCTTTATAAACTGCCATTTCCATTGTTTAGAGGGTTTTAACTTTTTTTTATTAGTAACTATTTATTGAGGGTATATAATAACACAAAAGTAAATAGGAGTTTTGGATTTCTCTTTTCCATAACAGAGCAATGCTGATGACAGCGTGTGATCTTTCTGCAATTACAAAACCCTGGCCTATTCAACAACGGGTATGTTGCTTAGTGACAATAACAATAATAATTAAAAAGTCAAAATAACATTCTACCCAGCAATCCCACTACTAGGTATCTACCTAAAGAAAAATAAATCACTATATAAAAAAGACACTTATATGTTCATCACAGCACCATTTATTATATCATAGCAAAGTCATGGAACTAACCTAAGTGTCCATCAACAGTTGATTAGATAAAGAACATGTGGTACATATGCACCATGGAATACTATGCAGGCATAAAAAGAATCAAGTCATGTTCTTTGCAGCAACATGATTGGAGCTGGAAGCCAATTATCCTTAATGAACTAACTAATTCGAAACAGAAAATCAGACACTGCACATTCTCACTTATAAGTGGGAGCCAAACAGTGGGACATATGGACATAAAGATGGAAATAACAGATACTAGGGACTCCAAAAGGGGGAAAGGTGGGAAGAGAACAAGGGGGGAAAACTACCTGTTGGGTACAATGTTCACTATTTGGGTAATGGGTATACTAGAAGCCCAGTCCCCACCAATACACAATATACATATATACCAGACATGCACATATACCCCCTAAATCTAAAATAAAATAATTTTTTTTAAGTTTTTACTCTTAAAGGTAGCTTCTGAAGTAAGTATGGAAATTTTTTTTGGAATTTTTAAGTAGTATTAAAAACCGGTATTTGGACATACAAAGGCTTTTCTTTTTAGAAGATGCATTTGCACATAATATTTGTAAGATATATTAAGAAAGAGAGCATCTACATTAACACAGCAAAAACATCGCTGTTGATAAGTTTTCATTTCAGTATGATAGGTTGAGCATACCTAATTCAAAAACCCAAAATGCCTCAAAATTCAAAGCATTTTGAGTACTGACATGACACTTACAGAAATGCTCATTGGACCAGCATTTTAGATTTCAGATTTTTTTATTTGGGATATAACTTATACTTCTGGCTTGTTTCTTAAGGTCATCCCTTTAATTACTTTGAAAATTAGAAGCAGCAAAATTACTTTTCTTATGGTTAGCCTTCTAGGCTATGCCTCAGCTCTAAATAGACATTAACAAGTAGAACATAGAGATTTCTGGGGCTTGTAGATATAGGAATTATTGATATAAGATGTCGAGAAGGTTCTGAATGGAGCCTGTTACCAGGAGGCTAGAAAAAAATCCTTCCCTCTAACTAAGTAACTGCTATAATGTTTTGCAGAGGCAATACAGGCTCAGAAAAGTGATGGATGTCCACGCAGTGACATATATATTGTGTTTTTTTTTTTTCAAGATTTCATTTTGAGTCCTTAATGTGCTATTTAGGATTGTTGACAGGCTGCTGTTGGTCAAGGCTCTGGGCTGCGTAGTCAGGTAGCCTAGTAACTCTTCCTACAGGCTCATCTCATGAAACAGACAAGCCGAGAAAACAAGATCAAAAACTCATTCTCCATGTGCCAAAGCCAACACACCATAAGCACTTAGGTGATCTTTACTTACCTTCCTGCCACATAATAAACAGGACTATATGCCTGTTTCTAACCAAGGAAGAGAATAGAAGAGGGAAGAATGTGTCTTCTTATATCCTTTCTTTCTCCTGAATCAAATCCTTGTACATACTGTTTTATGGGGGGAAAATAAATGAAGGAAGAAAACGTTTTTAAATAAAATTAAAAGGGAAAAATGTTGGAAGCTACCAAAGAGAGAGAGAGATACCTAAGTGAAAAAGAGTATAATGGAATAGTCAAGAGAGCATGCTTTGGATGTGGACTACTTGTCTTCAGGTATCAAGCTGCTGCTTATTTGCTATAAAATGGAGATATATAGCTCCTAACAGGGCCTCCATTCACAGTCTCTGTTTTAAAGAATGATATGCTTTTCATTGTCAAAACTGAGTCTGTTATTTATTTCAGATAGCAGAACTTGTAGCAAGTGAATTTTTTGATCAAGGAGACAGAGAGAGAAAAGAACTCAACATAGAACCCACTGTAAGTATGAAACCTTGTTCGTAGGAATTCAAATGCATTGTTTTAAAGTTGTAGACTCCTTTTTATGGTCCTATGGCATCTTTCCTTAGGACCACAATTTCTGATTTGTTAAAACTTTTTTCTCATTGGAAGAATTATACATATTCATTACAGAAAGCAAAACCAATAAAAGGCATAAAAAAGACACTTGGGGTCATCATATTGTATCACTGTTTTTTTGTAATTTGTTTTTTCTGCTTAAGTATTATAAACCACTTTTCATTTTAACAAATATTCTTATGTACTATCATGATTACATGAAATAGATGTAACCATAATTTACCTACTTCCCTTGGTGTAATGTTTGCAATGTTCACTATTACAAACAGCACTGTGATAAACATCCATCATAGATGTTTCACTCCTACTCCTTGGTTCCTGCCATCAAAAGAATGTAATAAAGAAGCTGTGGCTGACAGGGAAAGGAAGGAGAGATACCAAAAGAAACATGGAGGAAAAAAGACCAGATGTCATGCCACCACCGTCTCCCCAGTTTTCTCAGTATTCTACTTGTTTACTCCTTTGTTCAAAGTTCTCCTCAGAAATGTGTTCACAGCAGTGTTTCATCTATAATAGATGTTTATCACAGTGCTGTTTGTAATAGTGAACACTGCAAACATTACACCAAGGGAACTGATAAACCACTAAACCTCATTCTTCATTATCTTGTTAGCACAAATTCCTAGTTGTCATGTTGAAGGGCAAACAGTATTTAAAGGTCTTTGATACATACTGCCTTTTTACATAGAGTATGCATCTCAAATACAAGTAAAGATTCCTCTCAACCCACTTCTGTTTTTTGGAATGAATTTCCTTGAAATGAAACATAAGAGTTTTCCTGTTTTCTTTTCTTTTTTTTTTTTTTTTTTGGATTAATTTCTATCTGACCTTCCTAGGCTAACCCACTGATTCACCTTTCTAGAGCCAGCTTTCATTGTGTTCTTTAAATAAATGCTACACAGTGGCTCATGCCTGTGATGCCAGCACTTTGGGAGGCCAAAGCAGTCAGATCACTTGAGGTCAGGAGTTGTAGACCAGCCTAGCCAACATGGTGAAACCCATCTCTACTAAAAATAAAAAATTAGCCAGGCTTGGTGCTACACACCTGTAATCCCAGCTACTCAGGAGGCTGAGGCAGGAGAATAGCTTAAACTTGGGAGGTGAAGGTTGCAGTGAGCTGAGATGGCACCACTGCACTCCAGCCTGGACAACAGAGTGAGACTCCATCCCCAAAAATAATAAAGTAATAACTAACTAAATAAATAAATGCACATCTGTGTGTTTGGTCTGTATTTGTATTTTCAGGATCTAATGAACAGGGAGAAGAAAAACAAAATCCCAAGTATGCAAGTTGGGTTCATAGACGCCATCTGCTTGCAACTGTATGAGGTATTTATATGAAAACTACTAGACTTGCTAAACTTGGACTGTTATGAATTAGAACCTAAAGTAAATTGAAGAGATTAATATTAGGTGCCTATTTTTTGCTTCTAAATCAAGAAATAAAATTATTACTAGTATGGTTTCTTTTACTGATGAACATGTTTGTACTGAACAAGGAACACATACTAATATCTATTGAGTGCCTACTATGTGCTAATCTCCAACAAATTGATTTGGGGATGCTAAGAAGAATTATGTGCCAGTATTACCCTCAAGGAACAATACTGTATATACTGTGGGTTAGCATATTCTTTTTTTAAATCTAAATTTTAGCCTAAATAAAGAAAAGTAATCCAACTTTTCCTCATTGTCATAATGTGGCTTTACTCTAGTTGTAAAAATTTTCTGAGGGTTAAAAGGAGGTAGGTAGAATATTGCAGGTTCCCATTTCCACGTATCTGCTGGCTTGGCTTTTGGATGTGGGGGTGGTTATTGTAGGCAAATAGATTCTCCCTAAAACATCTAATTTATTAGTTTAGATGTTTATGACTCAGATGCAGAAAGAAGAGATTGTCTTTGTCTTTGAAAGTTTAAACAGAGAACTATTGTAAGTTTTAATTATTTGGAAAAAGAACATTTGTCATGGAGTTATAGAATGTCAAAACCAGAAAAAAAAAAAAAAAAACCTAGAAATTTTCTAATCCAGATGTTTCAGATTTAGTAATTGAACTTGTAAAGTTCATCTTCCAATGAGATAGATTATTTGTCCCAAACAGGTGGTTGGTGGGAGAGGTGCATCAAAAGAATTTAATAAAGAACTGTGGCTGACAGGGAAAGGAAGGAAAGATACCAAAAGAACCATGGCAAAAAAAAAAAAAAAAAAAACAGGTGTCATGTGCCACTGTCGTCTCCCCATTTTTCGCAGCATTCTACTTGTTTACTCCTTTGTTCAAAGTTCTTCCTCAGAAGTATGAAGTGTGTTCAGAGCATTGTTTCAAACACTTGGACATCTCATTCTTTCCATAACAGATGCTTTCCTTATTGATTGGATTAAGAGTTTCTCCATTAAAAATACTAATGGCTCTTTTGATTTTTCTCTATCCCTGTAAATACAGTCAACATAGTAATCACATCACCTATTATAGATGTTATCCTTCTACTATATATATGTATGTATGTATACAAGTATTCATTTTATTTGAATCTGCTGTTGAAAATTCTATGTGATACTGACATGTATTTTTAACATTATTACAGAAATAGTTATGTTCTCACTATAGAAAAATCAGAGGTCGGGCATGGTGGCTTAGACCTCTAATCCCAGCACTACTTTGGGAGGCCAAGGCAGGTGGATCAGTTGAGCTCAGGAGTTTGAGGCCAGCCTGGCCAACATGGTGAAACCCCATCCCTACAAAAAATAGAAAAATTAACCAGGTGTGGTGGCATGCGCTTGTAGTCCCAGCCACTTAGAAGACTGAGGCAGGAGAATTGCTTGAGTAGGAGAGGAGGGGGTTGCAGTGAGCTGAGATCCACACCACTGCACTCCAGCCTGGGCAATGGGAGTGGAAACCTGTCCTTAAAAAAAAGAAGAAAAAGAAAAATCAGAATTACTGAGAAGCAAAAAGGAAAATAAAACCAGTTACAATCCACTACCCAGAGAAAACTATAGATAACATATCAATGTATATGCTTTATGACATTTTCATATACTTTTCATTTAACAATAATTCAGTAATTGCCTTTTGCAATCCATAATGTCATTATATCCATATTTTATGTATCAAATGTGTTTCTGTGAGGGTTCTTTTTTTTTTTATTCTGTGGGGGATTTTCCAGTGACAACCTATTGTTGAGTATTTGTAATTTTAAGTGTTTCACTATTAGGAAGAAATCTGAAATGAACATTCTTGTGGCTAAATATTTATGGCACTATAATTGGTACACAATAATGCCATACCGAATTATGAATCTTTATTATAATATAATCCTGGATAAAAGCCTATTTAAGTACATTGTATGAAACCATTCCCTAGAAAAACACAAAAACTAAGCAGCTCCTGATGCAGTCACACTTAGGGAGAGCCAACTGTACTACATAGAAACAAAATGGCTTTTTTCCCCTAAAAGTGGATTCCACACAGATCTGCCTCCCTAGCACAGTAATGTTATTTTGGAATGTGTGTTTGCTCTGTCTCTCAACATGTACTCCTTATCTGTAGTGTTTTAGAAGAATCATGTGTAAATGATCTGTGTATGTGCTCACACAGCTTGTGAAAATTTCAGCAGTGAGTCTGCTCATGAAATGAGTGGCCCTTTGTAACAGGCCTGTGGGAGAGGGCGTATTTCCTGGCTTCCCTCTAGCTGTTTGCTTTGTTTTTTTTCTTTAGGCCCTGACCCACGTGTCAGAGGATTGTTTCCCTTTGCTAGATGGCTGCAGAAAGAACAGGCAGAAATGGCAGGCCCTTGCAGAACAGCAGGAGAAGATGCTGATCAATGGGGAAAGCGGCCAGGCCAAGCGGAACTGAGGGGCCTATTTCATGCAGAGCTGAAGTTTACAGAGACGGTGTGTTCTGCAATATGCCTAGTTTCTTACACACTGTCTGGATAGTGTCTGTATTTGGTATATACTTTGCCACTGCTGTATTTTTATTTTTGCACAACTTTTGAGAGTGTAGCATGAATGTTTTTAGAGGACTATTACATATTTTTTGTATATTTGTTTTATGCTACTGAACTGAAAGGATCAACAACATCCACTGTTAGCACATTGATAAAAGCATTGATTGTGATATTTCGTGTACTGCAAAGTGTAAGCAGTATTCTTGCACTGAGGATTTTTTGCTTGGGGACTATTTTAAATAATTGGTTTTTGTGTTTTCTGAATTACCATTTTTTCAAGACTGTTTGGAATCTTTCCTTTTTCAAAAGTAGGTTAGGAGCAAATTAACATACATTCTGTGACATTTAAAGGCTTTACAGCATAGTGAAAAATGGTGGCTGAGTGGATTTTAAGGAGGAATAATTGTATTTGTCAACAATGTCTTTTTTAAAAAGTTAAGGCACTCTGAAACAAACGGAAAGTACTATGAAACTGTATTGTAAAGAAAACATTATTTAATTGACTTGGCTGTTTTGTGAGAGAACAGACCAGAGAGAACTTTGTCATTTCAGTGCAGTACATTTTTCTAAAGGCTACCCATAAAATCACTTTCATCTCACCTACCTGATGCAAAGCAGGTGAAACCTTAGGAGATGATCCAGTCACTGACTTGATTGAGGGATAAGTGTGATCTAGAAATGGAATGGCCTTGGATGTCTGTCAGTGAAGAAAATGTTCTGTTAGAAGATCTCTCTAAGAGTTTTTTTTTTTCCTTCTGAGCTTTCTTTTCAAAATAAAAGTGACAATTGGAGCACTGACCTGAAGTGAGACGTGACTATAGATAAGAGAGTACAAAATGACTCTTTTTCCTGTCAATTGAAATTTAAAGAAAAGTTTTAATTATATAAATAGCAAAGGGCTATTGCCAATACTAGGGTCAAAAATGAATTTGAGGAACAGTGGGTAAGAAACTTTATGCCTGAATAACATTTAGCAGTATTGTGATTGAAAAATTGCCATATTTTGATGTATAGGACAAGTCAACTGAGATCCAGAGAATTCTGGATGTGAATGCTAAACACTGGCCCTTAATTCATATTCAATGGTATTTTCTTCCCATAACATTTAGTATAGTTAACATTTTCTTAGAATTTGAGCCCATTTAAGTAGATTAATATTCTACATGTGTGCCCCTAAGTACACATTTATTCAATATTGGAGAAATAGATAACGAATTAAGCAACTGGTCTAGGAAGGGAAAATTTATTTCAAATATGCAGGAATGTTTGGATTTGGGGAGAGTAGAAAGGAGAGATTTGCTTGATTTGTTCATTTCTACCTCCAACCCACAAAAAAAGATATTTGTTCTGAGTTTCTATCACTAATTTGGATAGAAAATTTCTTAAGGACATGGTAATGCAGCATTCTCAAGGACCTTTCGCCAAAATGTGTTTTCCATCTGTGTCCCAATTCCCCTAAATTTTGCCTAAAATTCAATATGTTCCTTAAGCTTTTAAAATTCTGAGTGTGTATATATATCTTGACATAATGCAGTTTTATTTTTATCATTCTGGTTAAAAAAAACACAAAAAATAGAAGCAAACCCCATTGTATTGCCGTTATTTTGTATTTGGTAAAAGTTAACCTAGGAAGTTACCAACTGTTTAATGCTATATGTATTGTATACTTGTATTTTCAGGATATTTTATTTTTTTGCCAGACACATAAAATTTATAAGGTTGCCCCTTGGTGGCACTGGTATGTAAAATACACAGACTATCACTAAAATAATAGCTATATATACATACATGTGTATACTTATGCATGCATACATAAATCCTTAGTATAGAAAAATTGCTTAAAGAATAGCAATCTTTAATAAACCTTTTTATTACATTGTGATTTAGCAGTTATGCTAAAATATGTACTTATACTTTAGTAGTTTGTTTGGTCCCCTCTAGTATGTGTCACTGAGAAATTTTTTAAAGACATAGTAGATCATGTTTAGAGGCTTTGTATGTGTGTCATTTTAATATGCAAGAAGATATATTTAGATTAGAAATGGTTTGGTCTGCCTTTGAATAATGTTTATTTTACTTTACTAGTTTAGACATTAAAGGAAGCTGGGCAATGCCTATTTTATTTTATTGTTGGATATTTCAGTTCATACAAAGAAGAATACTTCTTTAGGGCTGGTTAATTGGTTCAAATAATTTTTAATTTCCTTTCCAGTATCTTCTCAAGTTGGAAATATATACATATAGTCCTCCTTCACCTTACTCTATATTTACATTACCCATAACTAGCAAGAAGTACTTGTTCTAGATTTTTTGTTTGTTTAGTTATAAGAGAGTAACATGATACCATTTAATTTCAATTTTTAGCCAGAAAAGACCCCACTATTTTACTAACTTGTTAAAAAATATCTATGTAATTGCCTGGCCTCATGTTTTTCAGTAGATTAGACTGTGCCAATCACAATCCTGGGAGGATTTATGTAAGTCACTTAACCTCTGTGTGCCTAAACAAGTTATGCTTTTTTTAAAGGAGTTATGTTTGAGCAAAGCCTTTGTCTTCAAAGCAAATTGTCACAGAAGGCAGCTACTTTATAAGCCCAATGGGCGGTGGAGACCACTGTCAGAAATGGGATATTAGTGTAGAGAGAAGGTGATCTATTCCCATGTGTCATTTCTAATGTTGAGTTTCCAAGACTGAACAAAGAGAATATATTTATTCAGCTTCACTTGCAGATCACTAGTGAATGTGAGATTTAGAGCTCATTGAGTACATTGCTTCAAGGTACAAACCCAGGATGATGATGTTGTCATCACTGTCTTTTAATTTTGAAGAATAGTTTCATTTAATAGGAGTATTAGAGATAAGAAAGTATATGAAAATATACTGGAAATATTGGATTCTTGGAGAAAACTGTTCAGTCACAGATATATTCTTGCCTAGCAGTGAAGTGCCTTTATTTTCAGCAGAGCAAACAAATACTAGACCTGTTCCAATTTGATTTACAGTTTTTTTTCTGTGTTTTTCACCAGATTGTACTCCTAAAACTTAACAGGCTATCACAGGCAATTGTCTTTTGTTTACAAGATTGATTTAAAATGAGAGGATAAAAAAGTCATCATTATCCTCTCTTATGAATAACTGTAGTCAAAATAAGGTGGCACAATTTAATTGTTTTGTGTCAGAAATACATTGACCCGCCTTTTATTGAGTCCTGCCACATGTTAGGTACTGTGCTCAGCTGTGGAGACAGAGCAGTGACCTCAAGGAGCTCACAGTCCCTGAAGGAGGTCCTGGAGAAGAGACTTAGCTTCTGATACTGCCGATTTAACCTGAGAACATGGGGTATACTGCATCACTTCCATTTTCATCAATAACATATATTTTATGTACCTTCTTTACCTGAAACTTACTAAGAATCTACCAGTGAACAAACATCCTGTCTTCTTGCAAGTATGAATTAGTTAACCGGTTGATAGCTGAAGAACACTTTAGGAGTTTTGTATTCTTGTATATAGTTTATTTTTTCCATATGCTAGCCAGGTAAAGATTACACAGTTCTTCAGGACTGTTAAATTGTGCATGGTTTTGGACCCCTTCTGCTCTGCTACAGAGAGCAAAGAAGAAAGTATTAAAGCTCACTTTACCATTCCATATACTTACTAAAAGCCTGTGTAAACATATCTTAATGAATGTTGTTGAAAGCAATGTAAATAGTTGAACATATAAATTTATATTACAGTTTAAGAAAAGAAAACCTTATGAGGCATCACTAGCCACTGTTAATATCTATTTGTATTCTTATACCTTTTCAATATATTTGAACAAATATAGTTTCTGGCACTATTTTTATACTCGGAAAAGGAGTTACTATGTATATTATGCTTAGCTTTTAAGTCATTTTAAATAACCATGAATGTTGATTTCATTTCTTTCCTTTCCTCCATCATGAGAGTTATTTCACATGACTCTTTTATGACAAAATCACTTTAAAGGAACAACTTACCTCCGATTCTTGTATAAAATCATGAGATGGTCAAGGTGGTTTTCCGTTGTACAGATTCTTCACCTGTCAGTGGTTTCCTCATTTTGCCATGCTTTGTAAAAATAAAAAGAGTGAACAAGTCAGTATGAATACTGTGTGATTATTAGGGGACTCTGAATTTTAAGTGTGGGGAATTAATAGGGGAGTTTGGATTTTAGGCAGGGAGAATGGGCCCAATAGTTTGAGAGACTTTAATCAAGCTAACCTGTGATCCTATTAGCTGAAGAAAAGTAATCCTTTCCTTAGCCTAGACTCTTCTCAGTAATAGTCTTCCTTTTATTAATACTCTTTGCTGCCAGTTTGGGGGCTATGTTTTCCATCTCCTTCTCACTTCAAGTCAATAATGACTCTTTGGAGGGTGATTATCACCAGCCTGATGCTACATGAGGAGCTGAGGCTTGGAGCTGAATACTTGACCAAATGGCATGAGCTGGATTTGAGCCCAGATCTGTCTAGTTGCAAATCAAGGGTCTATTCCTTAGTTCTCTTTTTGAATTTAAATTTATAAAGGTCTCAAATCTACTCTTATAAGTCAAATGGGCTATCTGGAAGCATTAGAGACAGGAATTCCCTCACCCAGCAGGTTTGGTTTGTCTGAGTTTTTACAGTTAACATTTCTTAATTTAGTTCATCTGGTAATAGCTAAGAAAATGCCTTCACAGAATCCAACAACACTGTATCTCAGTGCTTCTAGTCTAGAGGTATGAAAGCATCAGTAAATGCAGAATTTCTGATTTCATTATTTTGCCACTAGACAAGCCTTCTTCATGTGGGGCAGTGTACCTAGGTTATGTCTAATTCATAAAACTAAAGGAAGAAGTAAAGTATAAGCTCATGTAGAACAATATTTTAGATTCTCTAACCACTAGAGAGTGCCAGAGCTTTAGTTATATTTAAAGAAGTAATCTTCCTTCCTGACCATAAAGAACTAATAAAACTTTTTTTTAAAGATTTTTAGTGGCTAAAAAATCGCAGGCTGTGTACACCGGCCCTGTGATATTGTTCCTAAAATCCAGGAAGGGAGAGGATGGTATGACTTTCCATACAGTAGGAGCTGTACACCCACGCTGGGATTTTGTTCCTAATATCAAGGGGGGGAGAGCGTAATATTACTCCCAATATGGCAAGGGGTGTACATCCCCCCGAGATACTGTTCTTGCCATTTAAAACAGGAGAGGATGACATGACTCCAGATATCGAAGAAAGTGCAAACCCCCGTGTGATATTATTTCTAATATCCAGAAAGGAAGAGGAGGATATTCATCCCCATATCACAGGAGGGGTACACTCACTCTGACATTTTTCCAAATATGCAGGGGCGAAAGAGGATAATCTCATTCCCAATATCGCAGCAAGGGTTGTACACCCCCGTGTGAGATGGTCTTTCATAATGTTCCAAGGCGGAGGGTGTATTACTACATATATGGCACAAAGTGTACACCCCCCAGGGATATTGTTCCCATAATCCTGGAGGGAAGAGGATGATATTACTTTAAATATCACAGAAGGCGTACACATCTCCAGTTATATTGTTTCTAATTTCCACGTGGGAGAGGAGGCTATGACACCCAATATCGCAGGGAGTAGAAACACTCCTGGGATACTATTCTTAATATTCAGGGAGGAAGAGGATGATATTACTCCCAATACAGACAGGTGTACACCCTCTGAGGGTGTACACACTGAGGGTGTACACCCGTCTGTGAAAGAGTTCATAATTTCCAGAGGGGCAGATGATATTATACTATCGTAAACAGGCTGAGTCCACCATGGATTGTAATAGCCAGGGGGGAGAGGGGGTGGCTATTACTCCCCATATCGTGGGGGGGTGCCTCACAATATCACAGTTGGGTGTACACTCCCTGCAGTACAAAGAAGAATATTATTTTCTCTTCCTTTAGCTCTTGAGAACAATATCACATGGCGGGTGGAGGACAATCCCTGCACTATTGGGAGTAATATCATTCTCTCTTTTTCTGGATAGTAGGAACAATATCACAGGCGGGATGGACAACCCCTGTGATATTGAGAGTAATATCATCCTCTCCCAACGTGGATATTAGGAACCATATCACAGGAGGCGTGTACACTTCTTCGATATTGGTAGCGATATCATCCTCTCCTCCCTGGGTATAAGAAACAATGTGACAGGCGGGGTGGACACCCCCCGCGACTTGGGGAGTAATATCCCTCCCTGGATATTAGGATCCACGGTGGACACACAGCGTGTTTACGATTTTGTGAGTAATATCATCTCCCCCTCTAGACATTACGAACAGTATCAAAGACGGGTGTACACCCTCTGCAATATAGGGAGGAATATCATCCTCTCCCCGCCTGGATATTAGCAACAATATAGGAGTGTTTATAACCCTTGCGATACTGGGAGTAATATCATCCTCTCCCAGGTGGAAATTAGGAACAGTATCACCAGGGGCATGTACACCCCCTGCGATATTGAAAGTAATATCATCCCCTTCCCCTGGATCATGGGAACAACATCACTGGGGGGTATACACTTTCTGCAATATTGGGAGTAACATCATCTTCTGTGCCTTGGAATATTAAGGACAATATCACAGGGGGGGCATGTACATCTTCTACAATATTGGGAATAATATTATCCTCTCTCCCCCTGCATATTAGGAAAGATATCACAGAGTGAGTGTTCACCTCCTGCGATATGGGGATTAATACCATCTTCTCCCCTTCCGGATATCAGGAAGAGTATCACACGGGGGTGTACAGTGTCTGCGATACTGGGAGTAATATCAACCTCTCGGCCTTGGAATATTAAGAAGAATATCACAGGGTGGATGTACACCCCCTGCCATATTGGGAGTAATATCAGCCTCTCCCCTCCATGGATATTAGGAACAATATCCCAAGCTGGGTGTATGCCTCCTGCTCTACGGGGAGTAATATCATCCTCTTCCTTCCAGGATATTAATAACAGTATCACAGGGCGGGTGAATACAGCCTGCGATACTGGAATTATTATCATCCTCTCCCCCTCCGGATACTAGGAACAATATCACAGAAGAGCTGTACCCTCCCTGCGATATTGGGAGTGATATCATATGCTTCTTCCATGAATATTAGGAGCAGTATCACCGGGTGGCTGTCCATTCATTGCTATGTTGGGAGTCATGTCATACTCTACCCTCCTAGATATTAGGATCAGTGTCACAGGGTGAGTGTACCCCTACTGCGATATTAAAACTAAAATCATGCTCTCCATCCCTGGATATTGGGAACAACATCACAGGTAGCTGTACACCCCCTGTGGTATTAGGAGTAATAATATGATTAATTATTAAACATCAATGATCGATTTTAATAATTATCAATGATACTATTAATAGGATACTATTATTAATTATGGATAATTATTTTAAATATATGATTATGCACGCTTAAAATTATTATTAATGTCATTTAACAATATTATTAGTTCTTAATATTATTATTTTATTACCAACATCACTTAGTATTGATTTAAGTAACATTAATTAGTGATATCATTTTATTATTAATAGTGGTATTACTGTTATTAATACTAATCGTTAACATTGTTAACCAGTATTTTTACTATCTTTATTGTGATTATTAATATCAATGATTACTATTAATTTTTATATTTATTAATATTAATAATTAATAGACTTGTTCCTGATATCCAGCGGGGAAAGGATATTACTCCCAATATTGAAGAAAGTGTACACCCCTCTATGATGTTATTCCTAGCCAGGGGATAGAGGATGACATTATTGAAACTATCGCAGTGGGTGTACATCCCTTCGGTCATCTTGTTCCTTATATCCCGGGTGGGAGAGGATGATATGACTCCCAATATCGCAGGGGGCGTAGACCTCCCCCATGATATTGTCCCTAACATCCAAAGGTGGAGAGGATATTTCTTTCGATTTTGCAAGGGACACCACCCCTGTGATATGGTTCCTAAAATCCAGGGGGCGAGAGGATGATATTAGTCTCAATATTGCAGGAGGTGTACACTCCCTAGAGATATTGTTCCTAATATCCAGGGACGGAGAGGACAATATCACTCCCAATAGAGCAGGGGGTGTACACCCCCTTGTGATATTGTTCCCTATATCCTGGGAGGGAGACGATGATACTAGTGGCAATATCGCAGGGGGTGTACACACCCACTGTGATATTGTTCCGAGTATCCAGAGGGAGAGAAAATGATATGACTCCCAATATCACAGGGGGTGCACATTCTCCTGTGATATTGTTTCTTACTTTCAGGGGGAGAGGATGATATTACTCCCAATATCGCAGGGGTTGTACACACCTCCTGTGATATTGTTCCTAATATCCCAAAGGGGAGAACATAATATTACTCTCAATATCACAGGGGGTGTACACCTCCTTTGTAATATTGTTCTTAATATCCATGATGGGAGAGGATGATATGACTCCCAATATTGCAGCAAGAAGTGTACAGCCGCTTGTGATATAGTTCCTAACATCTAGGTGGGGAGAGGATGATATTACTGCCCATACTGCACGACTTGTAAAACCCCTTCGGTATTTTGCCTACAATCCTGAGAGGAGAGGATGATATTACTCCCAATATCGAAGAAGGTGTACACCCCGCTGTGACACTATGCCCAATATCCACGTTGGCAGACAACGGCATTATGTCCAATATCACAGGGGATGTACACCCACCCTGGGATATTGTTCCTTATATCGAGAGGGGGAGAAGATGCTATTGCTCCCAATAACACAGGGACTGTGGCTGTACAACCCTCCTGTGATACTGTTCTTAATATCGTAGGAAGAGAGGATGATACTACACCCAATATCGCAGGGGGTGTACACCCACCCAGTGAAATTGTTCTTAATGTACTCCACCTCCCACCACCAGGGATATCGTTCCTAATATCGAGGGGAAGAGAGGATAACATTATGCCCAATATCCCAGGGGAGTGTACACACCCTCTGTGATGTTGTTCCTAGTATCCAAAGGTAGAGACGATGATATAACTGGCCATATCACATGGGGTGTGCACCCTTCTGTGA